CCCTAAACCGGAAACCCTAAACCCTAAACCCTACATGTGAGAGCTTATACTTGCTAGACCGACAGGAAAGAAAACTTAACCCGAGGAAGGGTCGAGGATTTGGTGCCTGGGGCTTTGGGCTTAGGCGCTGCATTGAAAATCAAGACAACCTGCGTTTGTGATCGCCCGTCCCTGCTAACCTGAGTGCAAACAAACTTAAATAGAGAACACACAATGAGCTTGATAGATCGGAGATTAGATCAGAAAAATGAATTCGGTGTTGAAACTAACTGAGGCGAAGGCCGGACTCGCAGAGATAACGATGCCCAACTAGTTACTTTCAAAAAATCGCGGCATTGCTGAGAAGCGAGAAACGACTGCTACACTGCTACACGTCACGCAGCTGATACTGCACCGCACTGCTGTCACCACCACAGGAGGCATCACCCCAGGTGACCACAGATCCATCACCCAGGATTGCGGCAAATGCCCGGTAAGAGGCTTGGATCTGCTTCACATCTTGCAGCTGATCCTGTACTGCACTGCTGTCGCCACCTTCGTCGGCATCTCCCCAGGTCACCACAGATCCATCACCCAGGATTGCAGCAAATGCATAATCAGAAGCTTGGATCTGCTGCACATGTTGCAGCTGACCCTGTACCGCACTACTGTCGCCACCACAGTCGGCATCACCCCAGGTGACCACTGATCCATCGACCAGGATTGCGGCAAAAGCACGTTCAGAAGCTTGGATCTGCCGCACATCTCGCAGCTGATCCTGTACCGAACTGCTGTCGCCACCACAGTCGGCATCACCCCAGGTGACCACTGATCCATGTACCAGGATTGCGGCAAATGCATAATCAGAAGCTTGGATCTGCCGCACATCTCGCAGCTGATCCTGTACCGAACTGCTGTCGCCACCACAGTAGGCATCACCCCAGGTGACCACTGATCCATCGACCAGGATTGCGGCAAAAACACGTTCAGAAGCTTGGATATGCTGCACATCGCGCAGCTGATCCTGTACCGAACTGCTGTCGCCACCACAGTCGGCATCACCCCAGGTGACCACTGATCCATCGACCAGGATTGCGGCAAAAGCACGTTCAGAAGCTTGGATCTGCTGCACACCTTGCAGCTGATCCTGTACCGCACTACTGTCGCCACCAAGGGCAGCATCACCCCAGGTGACCACAGATCCATCATCCAGGATTGCAGCAAACGCATGACTAGAAGCTTGGATCTGCTGCACACTCGTCAGCTGCGCCTGTACCGCACTGCTGTCGCCACCAAAATAAGTATGACCCCAGCTGACAACAGATCCATCGGCCAGGATTGCCGCAAATGCACGACCAGAAGACTGCACCTGTTGCACATCGCGCAGCTGCTGCTGTACGGCAGTGCTGTCGCCGCCACAATCGGCACGACCCCAGGTGACTACAGATCCATCAGCCAAAATTCCAGCAAACGCAGCAAAAGAAGCTTGGATCTGCAAGCACCGCTGTCGCCACCGAAGGCGACACTGCCCCAAGTGATCACGCATCCATCAGCCAGGATTGCCGCGAATGCACAGCTACTGCCTGTGGTGCAGTTAAGCTGGACCTGGTTCACTTGCAGGGTGAGCACGTCTCCACTCCTCAACTGAGCTTCTGTGACTGTTTGTGCTCCATCAAGCACCTGTCCAGAAGAATTCAGCAGCCGCCCCCTGCTCGCCAAGGCAGTCTGCGCGCGGCGCTTCAATGACTCAATGGATGCTCCTGCCTCCACTTCAATAGAGGCACACTTGCCACTCAGCAGATGCACATCCAAAGAAGTCGACATGATGCTTGGTAGGGTGGTCGCTTGACGCGAGACCTAGGACTGCAGCTTACTGGATCAAGTAACGCAGGGGCCCAGGGTTTTGGTGTATGTCACAGTACACTTGTCATGAGGAACCCCAAGGAATTGTGCTCTTGATTTTGCAGGCCACTCTGTTCTCAGTACTTCTGTACAACCCCAAGCCCTTTCGTTCCAAACCTTACAGACCATGACCACGCTGAACCCTAATCCCTAAACCAAAAGCCTCAAACCCCAAACCTGAAAACATCAACCCTAAACACTAAACCCAAACTCTCGCGGCACCCACATGTCTTCCGCATGTTTGTATTGCAGCTTCGGCATAGATTAGATACAGTAACTTAATAGCCTGAGTAGGGTTTGGCGTCATCAAAGTATACACACGTAGTAGTGAGTTAGTTTAATGTTACGTGGCAATAAGCTTCTATACTATATGGGAGTTTCCGAAAATTGGGGTACCTTATTTGGGGTCCTTATAATAGGGGTCCTATTATTTAGGGTACTATATGTTCGGGTTCGGAAACTCCCATATAGTTATAACATTCAAGACAAAGCCAAACCGAGCTTGGCCCTGACGGGCATAGCAGAAGTGTCTGACAGGAATATCCCAGCCCTGCTTTGCTTCCACGGGGGGTTTTGCATGGGATAGGCTTTGGGGTACATATCCTAGCTTGTGTTTAGGGCGCTTTTTTGAAGGGGGTAATCCCATAATCCGACGCTATGCACTGTGGCCTGTTAGGACGCCAGGCTTTCCGATTTGGGAAGAACTTTGATCGTTACCGAACCCCAAACTTGGTCTTAGGGCTTAGGGTTTAGGGGCTTGGGAGTTTAAAAGTTTGCAAGTTTAGGATGCAGGGGTTGCCAAGCTTCAAGCCCCAAAACCCTACGATATGACGTTTTCAGGTGGAGCCTTTACGAGTGAAGCTTTCGGCTTCACTTGCTCAGCGCACGGCTTCGGGCTTGAGCTATAATGACCTGCGTGAAAGCAGCGATGTAGGGTCAGCATATCATGGCTGGGGTCCCAAAACCACAACCTCTCAAGTCTTAAACCCTAGTTGGAGGGTCATGGGACTGAGTAAGTAAGGTTATAAGTACCTTAACTGGGGCTATAAGAAATTATAAGTATGGTTACCTTGTTTATAACTCCAGTTACTAAGTCCCATGATCCCTTAAGTAATCCCCAAATCCGAACCCGAAAAGCCAAAAGGCTGAAAACCGAAAACCCTAAACCCAAAGCCCTAAAGACTCCGAACCCTAGACTCTAAGCCCTCACCGTAACGCCTGAACCGCTGAGCTTTCCGCATGATGTTGGCTGCATTCAGATCTCCGTGCGCCAGCCCTAGGAACACGGGATTAGGATGAAAGGTTTACGGCTTGCGGATGTGGGGTTGCCTTTGTTTCTTTATGGGCCCCTTTCCGTCTGCCCTAGGGCTTGCAGCAAGGGGGAAATACCCAGAAACCCCAAAGCCGCATTGAGGAGTTTCTATTCAAACCCTTGGTAGGATTTTAGGCTGCATTCCTCATTCAACTACGGCCGTTCCCTCGTACATGAAGCTCGGATTCAAACTAAACCCTAAAAGGCCCTAAACCCTAAACCCAAAACCGTAAACCCTAAACCCTAAACCCCAAACCGTGGCTTCAAAAACACACAGCGCCCTGTATGACCTCCATTCCGCAGCTCACGCATTTGTCGAGGCTCACAAAAACCGAATGAGGATCCTACGAAATACATACCAAATCCACTGAAATACACACGAAATCCATTGAAATACATGCGAAATCCACTGAAATACGCACGAAATCCATTGAAATACACACCAAGTCCATTGAAATACAAACGAAATCCATTGAAAATACACTGTTTGGTATACATCACAGGCATCCGCAGGCACTGTGTTGTTGTTGGGGGGGTAAAACAACATGACGGGGCTCCTGTTTTTGTCTCTACCTAATGTACAGACAAAAAGCAGATATATGGGTTGATGTGGCTGCAGTTTTTGTTTGTACCTTGTTGTTGCGTGTGGTCTTGTCGCCGTTGTCGCGGTTAATGTTGTTGTTGTTGTTGGTGGTGGTGGAGTCGTGGCTGTAGTTGTTCCTGTTGTTGTTTGTTATTCCTCTTCTTGCTGCTGGTGGTTGTGTGGTGTTTGCTGATGTTGCTGTTGTTGTTGATCTTGCTCTCCTGTAAACTCCCCCTCACAAACAAGGGGACGCCTTGTTGGAAGAACCTCTGTATAGATCCAAGATGGTAGCATCCTCGCGAGAAAAACCAATTTTGGATTTAGGAGTTTAGGGTTTGGGGTTTAGGGTTGGGGTTTAGGACTTATATAGGGTTTTGGGTTTAGGGGTTTAGGGTTTAGAGGTTTTGGGTTGGGGTTTAGGATTTATATAGGGTTTAGGAGTTGAAGCCTTTTCGGACCTAATCAAAGCCCGTTTGTCCCTGTTACAAATCATGCAGAAGGTCTGAAGCATTAGCAGGAATAACCCCCTTATGGTCCATATGCTACTCCTCTGTGATCTACCTACATACCCTGTTAAAGCTACTCAGGCCCTAAACCCTAAACCCAAAGAGGACGCTTCCCTGGGCCCCCCGCCGACGAGCGGGCAGAGATTGTCGCCAGTCTGAGATCGGGCGATTTAGGTTTTTAGGATGTGGGGCTTTGGGGTTTCAGGTTCTGGAACCTAAACTAAACAAAGCTCCTGAGTGTTTGGGGCTTAGAGTAGCTGAAACCCTGAAACCCTGGCTCGCCCAGCGCTTCCGCTGAAGGTCAGCCAGGGCAGCTAGAGTTGATGATATAAATCCTGCATTACCTTAAGGACCCGAAACTATGGGAATAATGGTACATTCCTGATCATGGGTAATGCAGGATTTATATCATCGACCGTAGGGGCTATGGGCCCGAAGTGGTTTGAGCTTGGCATCTCAGGGGCTGAAAGCCTGAAACCCCAAACCCTCAACTGCGGCTACGAGTCAAATTGGGGGCTTGAGGGTCCTTGAGGTCTACGACAGGTAAATACCCTAAACCCTATACCCTAAACCCTAAACCCTAAACTCACTTCACTGATGCCAGAGGAAAATCCTGTGCTAACCAAAGCATGCAAGGCCAAAAACGATCCTGCTGTAGGATCGTAGCCAAACTAGAAAGACAAAGACAAAGCGGGAGCCTGTACAAAAACGGAAGGCCTCAAGCCGCCGGATAGGCCCAGAAAGCCCGCACAGAGAGCGAGGACGGGGCCGCAAGAGAAGAACCGGCGATGACGGCGCGAGCAGACGAAGCCAAGGAAGCAGAGCTCGCAGCCAGAAACACAGGACCAGCAGGGGACCAGAAGTCCAGGAAGACGGCAGAAGGAAGCAACCGCCGCAAGAGGACAAGGCCCTGTTGACTGGGACGCCCGGGAATCCAAAGGGCGCCAAACCGCAGAACGACCTTGCAGGTCATACGGAAGGAGACCAAGGCGGCAGCAATCCCCAACAGAGACCATCTGCCGGAGGTCGCATCGCCGAGAGACACAGGAGCACCAAGCCCGGAAGACGAGGCGCGACGGAGGACGCCTAGCGACCGAAAAACCCCCAAAACTCCCAAGGAGCAAAGAGCTCCAAGGCCGACCACAAGGGCCAGAAGCCATGCCACGATGAGGGAAACCGAAAGACCCCACCCATGGCAAGAAGCCCGGGCCACCAGGGCGTAGGCAGAGCCCAATCCTGGCCTGAGGCAGCCCCATCAACAAAGGAGAGCCAAGGGGGCAGAGAGCCCACAGATGGCAAAGGTGGAGCAATGCGGGACAGGGAGGGTTCCGAGACTGGGGCCGTAGCGAAGGGAAATCCAAGTTCGGCAAGGGTTGGAGCAGCGAGGGAGGACCCCGCAGCGGCCCGTTGCAAGTTGCCGGGGACGAGGTCGGAGAGGGCCGGCGAACGCTGCACCGCATCCCACTCCTGTTGCAGCTCCTCCTCATCAGCAGGCAGACCCAAATCCTCGGCCCGGCGCTGTGCTGGGGTGGCATTGCAGGGCCCGCATAGGCGTTGTGGGGGAACACCCCTGTGGGCCGTTCTACCCTTGCGTTTAGTGCCCGACCCATACTGGTAGACAGGCCCCACCGTCACCCGCAGTCCATGCAAGCAGGCCCGGTGGGATTGCAGATGGTATTTCAACCGGTCCGAAGAGTGGAAGTCGTGCATGCACCAGAGGCAGACAGAGCCGGCCATGTAAGCTGTCACATCGGACAGCACACCATGTTTGCGATGCATGTGGGCGCGGACCGCGTGCAGGCTCGGGAAGATGATGCTGCACACAGGGCATCGATGGGCCTGGGGGGGTCCTAAAATTTGGGTGGCCCTACGGGTAGAAAGGTCATCCCAAAGCTGAGCAATGTACCGATGTCCAAACTTGCTGAGTGCCTTGCAGGCACGAAGAAGAGCACGGCTGTGGTCTTGGACAAACAGAGCTGTGACGGCGGGGGGGGAATTAGGGTCCCAAACCTCAAGCGCAACGCCCACCCTCATACATGCCGCGACGAGGGCCTGGCACCAAGGGAGGGCCCTGTTCCACGCCGCGTCGACGATGTCACGCACCGCCGTGGGTGCTTTACAGAAAAGCTGGACGCAGAGGCGACACTGACTGATGGTGGTAGCCAGGTCAGGAGGAGTAATGTCAGCGAGGAGCCGGAGCAGTGGAGTGGTGAGCTTGTGCCCAACCTGCCATGAGGACAGCAGGATCCTGGCCGTGCGTTCAAAAAGGCCAGCGAGAGGGGCCGTGGCACGGCCGGAGTCGGCCAGAGACATAGCAAGGGAGGAATAAGCGGAGGGCAGGACTCGTCCCGCGACCCAAGCCCGTTTAAGTTCCCAGGGCAAACAATTGCTGCAGAGGAGAGTGCGAGCAAGGGAGGCCGCAGCGGCGCCTCGTTGGGCGGCAAGCTCACAGTCGCGGCGGCCCGTATCCCGAGGCAGCTGAGCCACACCCAGATACTTGTACTCGGGACACAACTTGATGCTGTCAGAATCAGAGATCTTTAACATGGCATCACCGGTGAGGAGAGCTCCGCGGGCCGCTCGAGCGCCCTCCCCCCGGATGTCAACAAGGGCCTCAGTTTTACCCGCACCCAAATTAACACGAAATCGGAGGAGTCGGAGAGTGTCAAGGATAATGCCGACCAGCGCGGGCAGTTGAACAAGAAGATCAGCTGGTCGGTCAAAATCGGCCATAACCGCAAGGTCGTCAGCCCAACCGATGGGCTTGACCCCTGGGGAGAGGCCAACTTCAGCACCGGCGCTGGTGTGAACAATTCCCTGACGGGTGGCAGCGCGCTGGATATGCTGAAGGCCAACAGCGAAAAGGGCTCCAAAAAGGATGTCAGCTAGGCCATCACCTGGACGAGACCCCCGTGACGCAAGAAAAATGTTGGAAGAGCCAGAGAGTGACCAGTGGGAGAGGGCGACACAGTCACGGAGGAGTGCAACAACATCCTCTGCAACACCCAAGGCAGTAAGGGCCCCTTGTTGTTGAAGACTGAGCACCAGCCCAGCAAGGTGGTGATGCTCTGGCAGGGCAGTGTCATCAGGGAAGCCTTCAAAGAGGAGATCCCGGCTGGCCTCATAGTACGCGGCCTGGATATCGACAAAGACCACGGCAACACATCGGCCAGCTGAGATGGAAAGGTCCCAGGCACAACGGAAGGCGGCCAACGCAAATCCTGTGTGGACACCCTTGCGGCCCCCAAGCTGCATAGGCTCGTATCGCGACAAGACGTGGCCTCCCACAGTGGAGCGCAGGTGCGAGTGCCATAGCTTCGCGATGCCGTTCAGTAGCGCGATAGAGCGGTAATTAGCAGGGAGAGAGGCTGGGCCCTTCTTGTAAAGGGCGCATACAATGGCCGCCTTAAAGTCAAAAGGCTCCCTTCCTTGGAGAGCGATGCGCACGCACAGGGGCCAGAGCCACTGCCCTGCTGAGGCTCCCTGCGTGCGCCAGAGCTCGTTCCGCAGGCCGTCTGGTCCTGGGGCCTTGGCGGCCGCCTGTCGGACACACATTTGTTCCATCTGCAAGAGGGTGGGAACCGCCTCGGCACACGGGAGGCGCGGTTCGTTCATCCATCGCTCAGCGGCGCTGGAGAGCTGCACTGGGCTGACCAGACTGGCCCCCTCCTGGTCGCGGAACTGGGCCTCCAACTCGCTATCAATGTCGAAGCCACCGGCTGCGTGAACAGACCGACGCTCGTGTGCCTTGCGAGAGGCCCAGCGGAGATGCCGGATGGATTCCAAAGGGACTCCGCTGGCTTCCCAGTGTTTGGTCGCCTCCAGAGTAAGTGTGCGAAAATGAGCCAGCTTGTCGGACCTCGCTAGATAGTGGGCCTTCTGCTGAAGACCCCGTACATGGAGATTACAAGCCTGGAGAAGAAGGCGGGCATGCTGCAGGCCCGTCGGATCAGGGCGCAAGGGTGCAGCATCGGGGTGTCGGTGTGTGCAACCCAGTCGCCAAACTTGCAAGAGAAAGCGGCGCTGCTGCCACTCCAAATTAGTTCGCAGCCGGAGCTGTTCTCGCGCCTGCCGAACTCGATCGAGTGCGGTGACAGAGGCCGCTGTGATGTAGGGCTGTCGGATGGGGCGGCGTGGAGGGCGAGGAAGGGCCCGAAGCAAGCAGGAGTGCTGGGTTTTAAGAGCCTGCACTTCGGCGCCCACGCTATCAATGTGCCTGTGAACGGCAGAGCTCCCCAAAGATCGGCAGCGATGGCTCGTGCCTGGTGCACAGTGGCGCGGGGCGGGGCCGGCGCCTTGGGCCGGGTGGCCTGGCCCCGGAGGTCGCACTCGACCAGAAGCGGCATATGATCCCGACGACCATTGAGAATGTCCAGCTCAGGAAGCTGTCGGGTGCGACGGCAGGACCAGGGGCCAGCCTGGAGCAAGATGTGATCCAGACGCTTGCGGGTGCCGCCAGTATGCTCCCAGGACCAGCCCGGGCCGTCTTGAAGGTCCGAGAAGGAGGCAGGGGCGAGGAGGCCAAAACGCTGGATGGTATCAAAAAGGCCTTGCTCGCCCGCTCCTTCCTCGCCATTACCAAGAGCGTCTCCGATATATGCATGGTCGTCATCGGCCCAAAGAAGATCAGCGTTAGCATCGAGACCCAGGACCAAAGTGAGGGCCCGTGGGAGCTGGCACAGCTGAGATTGCAGTGAGGACCAAAAGTGGTGGATTTCGGGCACTGGTCTGTCGGCGTGTGGAGCATGCGCCGCGACAACGGCCAAAGGGAGGTCCGCCCGTTTACATACTATGACTAAAAGTCTTGGGTCTGCACAGGCAATCCGCCAGTCATCCAGGCGGAGGGGGGGGTTAACTAGCTGGGGCCTAACCCAAATTTCGCAACCGTAGCTACCTTTTTGGGCACCGGAGCGCCAGGTGAGAAGGCCGGCTGTGTCCCATCGGCCTCCTTTGCTGCGCGTCTCCTGAAGGCAGACTACATCGAGGCCCAGTTGGGCGACTTGAGAGTACAAGTATTGACGCCTCTGGCCATGACCCGACGGGTTAAAGAAGGAGGCACAAGAATCTCGCATTGTTTGAACATTAGCCGTAACAATGCGAAGGGATAGCGAGGGTGCTAGCGACAACGGTCGCTGGGGCTCTAGCGACGGAGCAGCACAGGGCACCTCGGTGGGAGGGCACTGGACCTCGGACCCTCGACCGTGAGGCGGACACAGGGTCTGCCTTGGATCACCTTGGCATGTGGAATGAGCCAGAGCCAAGGCGCCGCTTCCTGGAGCAGAGCGGGGAGGGCAGCATCGACATGTTTCCAGGGATGCCACGAAGTCCGGCCGGCCCAGCCAGCGAGAAAGTCGGCGATCGTATTAGGGAGAATGCCGACATGGCTGTGCACGTGTTGAAAGCGAGTGGACATGCGGGACTGGACAGCTTGCCAGATATATCGAGTAAGGGTGGTGACTGGCTCACTGGCCTGCGCTTGCCCAGCCGCGATCTGGAGCGCAGAGGCATTGTCAACCGCAATGGTGACCTTGGCAGGCGCTGCCGACGTCAGAAGGGAGAGACGGTCGGCCCAAGCGAGGAGCCAGAGGCCCGCGGCTTGCAGGGCCCAGAGCTCAGCTTGAAAGGAGACACCACTCCCGGGGGCCGCAGTGCCAGAGATCCAAGGGGTATCGGCCCCCGCGGCGCCGAACCAACCAACCCGGTGCCACTTGTGACGCCACCAAACCCATACGCAGAAGGCCCATGCTCCTCCCCGCTCGCCGCTCCCATCAGTGGCGATGAGAACCTGATCGGGTACACCGCCAGACCATAGGGGGAAGCTAGAGAAGGCCTGGCGATAAGGCGCTGGAGCGGTTGCCGGGAGATTCGGGAAGAGGTCGTGCATCCACCACAACTGGTGCAAGGAGGCTTGAGCGGCACACTCCTGATGGATATCTGCCGCCCAGGAGATTCCATCCGGGCTGTGCCAATCTGGCGCCCCCCATGCACGAAGATAGCAACTGGTGCGGGAGAGCAGCCCGAAATCCACTTCATTGGGCGATGGACCTGGGGTCCGAGCAAGGACATTAATGGGGACCGGCGGGAAACCTATAGGGCCATCTTACCCGGAAACAACTCGGGCAGCCCAGCCAGAATAACCCAAGCACTGAGAAGAAAGAACCAGTGCCGACCCAGGCGCCCGTGAACGACCAGGCTGGCAAGCAACGGAAGCAAAGTGCGGGAGGGAGCGCTGCCCAGAGGGGAGCCGCTGTCACCATCCCGCAGGAGTCCATCTGCACCATGGCGAGGCACCACGCGAACGCTTAGGGGGGGTTGGGCAGGCAAGACATGGGCCCAATGTAGATTAGGGCTTTCAGGGACAAGATGAAGCCCAAGGTCGTCGACACGGGCTGCTGGAATCCAGCGGCCAACACTGAACCGGACCAGAGAAGGGCGGAAAGTGCAATGTTCAGGATCCCACTGTTCATCACTGGTAGTGGGGACAGTAAGCGGGACTGGATCTCCCGGGGTCCAAGCAAAGAGAAGTCCAGGCTGCCTGATGCGAAAGGGGCTGCCCCAGAAGGCTAGCTGACGAGCCTGGAGAAGAGTTTCCCAGAACCGCCCGACGGGTGAGCGGAGGCGCGGGGCCCACGTGGCGCTGGCCAGAGTCAGGACATCACCAGACCGGAGGAATAAGGTTGGATTACAAGTCGTGGCAGTGCCGCACCAAGCCTCTGGAGGAGCCAAGACGTACCACGGGAAGAAACCCACTCGTATGGGCTGTTCCGGCAAATCTAAAGCGGGAACCATGCCCTGACCGGCACCAACCAAGCAAGCAAGGGCGAGAAGCCGGGGCCATCTGGCGGAAAGGACAGCAAGCCAGATCCAGCGGCCAGAAATGGCCGCGGCAACAGAGGACGAGGGCCCCCAACGTGGGCGCGCAACAGGGCCCGGGGCCGGACCCGCAAGGCTTTGCAGGGGCGGTCCGGTAGGGTCCCAAACCGTATCAGCAGTCGGGTCCAGCACAAGAACATCCCCATCTCGGAGAGGACTGTCTGCCCGAACGTACTGCAGAGCGGGTAGAAGGCGCCACCCAGGCGGTGCACGGAAGGCATTGCAACCAGCGAGCAACAACCCCTGAGGCTCAAGATCGGGGGGCATTAAGAGGAGGACATGGGCCTCACCAGTGGAGGTGCTGTGCGCCAGGTGCAGACTGGATAGATCCCCAGAGAGAACAGGGACCCATGACCCTGACAGCGCTCTGCCATTTAGACTCCAGAAGGTGGGACCCTCGGGATCCCAATAGCCGGTATCCCTGATCCGGATGCTATGGCCAGATCGACGGCCCGTATACCACAAGCAGACGTATCCGCCCGAGTCGAATCGAAAGGGGAGCGACCAGCTGGCAACTTGCCGTGCCCGTTCCAGGGAGGCATACTGCAGCAAGGGATAACGGGTAGCACCCGGGTCGGAAGGCTCGGGAAGGAGGCTAAAAGCGTCTCCGTTGCGGAGCCTGATATGCACATTCGGGATAGTAGTGCGCAGCACAGGTGGCGCTATGACTCGCCAAAACCGGGTGTGAGGAAAGACGCGAACAGCAAGCCGGTGAATGTCATCAAGAGACGAGTCAACCGTGGCAAAAGCAACGGCCGAACAACCCTCAATGTGCAGGGCCACAGTAGCAAGACCGTATGGGGCAACCGGGGCGACTGTGATCTGGGAGATTGGGAGCACCGCCCGGACAGGGAAAAAGCGATGGGCCCAAAGCCCGCAGTGGCGCGTACCTTCCTGCTGGATAGACCTCCATGATCTGGTCGTGTCGAGGAAGCTGGTCTCGCTCCATCCCCGCAGGGGGCACAAAACACGAGCCGTGAGTGGTCGGGGACCAGGGAAGCAACGTGCAAGAGGGCCATCGGGGTTATCGGGCTGCCAACCACCTATAGCGGTACATAAGGCTCCCCATCATTGAAATCAATGGCAGGGGGAAAGAACCTCCCAGGCCAGGGATGGGAGGGTGAGCGACTTCTGCTGGGCCGTCGCCTAGTGCGGATGGTACGCGCCTCGGAAGAGTCCGCGCTGGGGCAGCGGCCAGAGGCACTCGAGGACGCTCCCCACGCTGGTTCAAGAAGCCCGAAGAAGATAAGGGCAAGTTGGGCAGGGAGGAGAGGACGCCTCCCCAGGAGACCGAAGGCAGCAGAAAGGACCCACCAGTCTCCGTCCCTGGTCTGAGCAACCTGACAAGCCCGGCTGGAAGCAGGTCGGAGGGAGTACCCGGCAATATAGAAATCATGCGCAGCGTCCCGAGCGGTCTCAACACACCTTGTGGCCCCACTAGACTGAATAATGTTGGCATGCCCCGGAGAGGGAGACTGCTCGACGAGCCAGGGGGGAGCACCTAGGTGTCCATGGCAGGGGGCCCAGCGGTGATGGCCAAGCTCCACCTCATGATGCAGAATCGTGGCTGCCGCTGCGTCCCATTTGGCCTGATGGCCCAGCAACACGACCCTAGCTGAGCGGCTAGGGGACCACAGTAGCACACAGGAGGCTTGGGCCACCACAAAATCAGAGTGCCAGGCCGAGGCAGCATGGGCAGCACCCCATGTCAAGTAGACCGGGGGCTCGCGAGGCCCTGCGAGAGGGTCAAGTTGCAAAGGGCAGACAGCTAGAACGTCTCCAGAACGGAGTTCGAGGACTGGCCGATCGGAGTGAAGGGTGGCCCCCAGTCCGGGCTGGAGTTTAAGGCTCACACGACGGCCAAGCCTCATCTGGAGGGCCTGAGTGAGGTCTCTAGGGGTAAGGAAGGACGGCAGGATGACACAGAGCATCTGGCCTAAACCCAAGACAATAAGGCAAACCAGCCTATACTTCCCGGGAGAGGGACTACAACCTGGGACCCTTCTAAAACCAGGCCAGTGGCAGCAAATCCCCGATGCCACGATGTCAAAGTGCGGTGGGCGTCTGCCATAACATCGTCAAAGAGGTGACGTGGGTCGGCCTCAACACGATGCCATGGCGCAAAAGGGTTGGCCACAGTGACCAAGACCCTGGGTGGAGCAGCTTGTGGAATAGCAGAGGATGTGGTCTGGCTCAACACCGAAGTTTCCGGAACCATAGCTTGCGAGCCAGGGAGGCACCAGGTCAGCATGAGGAGACGAGAGAAAAGGCCGGAATGGGCCACAAGGGAACCCAGCAGGAGCGAAAGAAAGGTTCCCATTCGACAGGAGGAGAGAGCTGGAACTAGGCCCAGGACCAAACCCCACAGAAGTGGGCGGCCGCCGCAGGCCCCTCGGGCAAAGTCGCCGAACACGACGTCCCCATTCCGAAGCTCACATGCCTGATTGAGAGCGTAGGAGGGGACTCCCCCCACTTGCAGGGATCCAGGGAGGAAGTGCAGCTGATCGGCAAGACTATCGCGCGAGGCGATCCGGTCAACGGTACGGCAGAGGCGGCCTTCCGGAGAGGCAGCAACCACGTTAACCTGAGCCGCGACACCGTGGACCTCGATCAGTTGTAATGCCCGGGCACTGGACCACTGGACGGGTGTCCACATACCTGGAAAGTGGTTACGAAAAGTGCCGGTGAACGTAAAGGATTCTGGGCACCAGGCTTCTCCAGCGGAAACAGAGGCCAACAAGGGTGGGCGATTAGGGCGAAGCAGGTGCACAGAAATGCCGAACATAAGTTGAAAGCCCGTAGCCCAGGGAGCGTGGTGAGCTGCAAGGCCATCCTGAAGGTGCCAAGGATCGACAAACTCGAGCGGCTCAGAAGGGTCCTCCGGAGGGTCATGGATGTACACGACATCGCCGTTGCGAAAACGGAAAGCCGCAGGCGGAACATCAAAGAGCTCGCAGATCGCGAGCCCATGCGGCAGGGAAATGCCATCAACGGGGCTGTTGATGTGGCGCGAGATAAAGTCTGTCAACCACGCCACTGTCATGGTCCGCGGAGTGAGCGTGGCCCGATGGTGACCCCGCCACATCAGCATAATGGTTACAAGGGCCGCATCTTGTCCCACCGGGACCATGGACAACTCGTTGAAGGCGGGGCCCGGCCACACAGGAAAGAAGTCAGATGCCCATCCTGGGTCGTCGTTGAGGAACTGGGCCCAGACTTGACCGTGGCGAGTGCCATGGGAGGCTGTGTATGGGGGAAACACCCCCAAGAAAGGACTGTGCAGGACAACGTAGACCGGGTCCTCCGCCGTAATGGCGGAGAAGTCCCGGTTGATTGGATCAGTACCCCAAGGGAAGCCACCTGGTCTATGCATGCCCTGTGCTAGAGCGACGCCAGCAAGGAGCCCAAGAGAGAGGCGCATTGGTGGGGTAACCCGACAAAAGATCAGTGAGAAGCAGCCCCAAGACAAAAAGGGGCGACCTTGTGAGGAGAAGGGGATGTCGGGGCTGCCGGCAGCAGGTTCGGCTTCGCTAGTCGGTGCAGCAAGGGCGGCGGCTTGGGCCGGCGGGGGAGGAGACCGTGACTGAGAACGAGGTCTCACAGCCCGCCATTACGAAATTGGACGACCGAGGACCCTTCCTGAACCTCAGGGGGGCGAAGGTCGTACTCACTCCCGTCAAGCTGCAGAGCACGTAATGCCGCGGTCCCAACACAGACCGGGAGACAGCAGGGCACAAGGCGGCCTTCCAGCACAATACCGACAGCGGCGTTCCCAGGCGCCTGTGGACACCCGATGAGGTGTACAGCGGTAGCGGTTGCAGAGGCACAATATCGGCCCAACCCCGGCTGCGGGCGTGTCCCCTGAATAGTACAAAGGGATTGATCTCAGGGCCAGCAGAATACTCGACAAGCTCGCACTGCTGTCGGGCGGTGAAGGGATTGTGAATGCAGAAAGGGGTGCCAAGGGGGATAGCGGCAGCAAAGGAGCGCAGGCCACGTTGAAGACCAAGCAAGTCAGCCTGAACGCGGCGGACAGTGTCCTCGTCCGCGGCGGGCTCCCTTTCAATTGAAGACGGCCAGAGGCCTAGCGCGTAGTCCTCCAGCGGCCGGGCGGCGCGGAGGTACCACATACGAGGCTGGAAAGGAGCATTGACAGGCTCTGGTGGTGGTGGGCCAGCAGGGCGAGAGACCGGGTTGGGCTCCGCAGCAGACATGTTGAAGGCTTGGACAGGCGGTGGACCTTCATCCTCGGACTGTTCGTCATCCGAACTAGCAGGCGGCGCACTGATGATGGAACCTGCACCTAAGGTTGCCAGGACAAGGAGGCGCCCGAATGCTGAAGCTCCAAAGTAACCCCGAGTACATACTAAAGTCAGAATAACCACCGAAAGCCTATCCTGTCGCCGAC